CGGGACAGGATTCATACATAATAGTTATAACACAGCAAAGAGTGCTGTATGGCCAATAACAGCATGAGGGATGGAGGTGAGACAGCCAATACAACACTCAGCGCTTTGTGCCTCATGCTGTATTCTGTCTCGACTCCACCCCTCGTGCTGTTATTGGCCATACAGCACTCTTTACTGTGCTAGCTGTAATTAATTTATGGAATATAGTGGACGTGTCAAAGGCGTCCGCCAAATACACTCCTAGACAAGTTTTCTTGACTCTTTAAGGTTGAGACAAAGCCAGTACAAATATTTAAAAGCTTCTTTGCCACATAACACGGACTTGGCTGCCCAATGATCAATATAAGAATATCTCTGGTCGCTAAAAACAGCAAAAAGCAGACAATGGTGGTAAAGGAGTGTTGTGAGTCTGAAAGAGCACAAAAAGCTTCTCACCCAGTGCTGCTAGCCATTGTGAAGCCAACCAACCGATACTCAATTCTGGTGCTTCATTCAATATAACGGAACAGGCAGTGCCTGCGATGTGCCCACGTAGTATACTATAACATACACACCCACACATTCATAAGGTGGCTTCACCTTATTTTGTGGAAGTAATTTTTTGCGAATTGCTTGCAAACAGCACCACGTGGCAATGGAGAGCAGAATTTGATGGTGAAAATTTTTCGCAACTAATCAAAAATTGTGAAATTCATGAAAATATTTTACCATGAAAAGAAACCAGTAACGGTAATTTAATCACAGTAAGGGCTTTAATCAATTTTTACATACACATTAACTAAAACATCAACTAATACATGACATTACATGTAAATGTTCATAAATACTGACTGCCACAATAACCACGTGGCAATGGAGAGAAGAATTTGATGGTGAAAAATTTTCGCAACTAATCAAAGGGCTTTACTCAATTTTTAAATAACTATATGCATGATACATGACCATAACAATTAATACCGGTATAACATAAGTACTCATATCAACATATATTATACTGACTGCAACAATTATCACAAATATTACCTTTATCATGTTGTTCCTTGTCTTGTCTCAGTGCAGATATCATAATAGGATCATCATTAATAGTCTCCAAGAAAAGAGAAGCTTTCTCATCATTACTAGATGAATCAGTCCTTATCTTTTGTAGAATAGGAAGGAACACTTCTTCCACTGACAGTATAAACTCTAACAATTGAAGTGACTCCAACATTGAGTAAACACAACTACTAGGAATGACTCCCACAACACCTGTCACCAAGGATCTTCCTTTCCACCAAAAACTATTCAGCTTCTCATATATCTCCAGCTGCTCTCCCTCACTGAATGATATTTCATCACTCCCCGTTGCATGATAGTCATAACGAGCAATAAAAACAGATTTTGCTATTGGTTTATTCACTATATACCAGTGATACAATATATCAATCAGTTAATGAAATAATGACACATACCTTTATCATCATCTTCATCTCTCAATTCGGCAGTTTCAGTTTCTTTTGCAGCTGATGAAGTCAATTTAAGTTGTTCCCTCCACTCTGATTAATAAATAATAATTATCAAAAATAATAATAAATATAGCATACCTTTTATTACTTCTCTATATTCTTCATTCTCTTCTCTTTTATTTAGTATATGGACACTCATTACTGACATCTGTTCTTGTAGTTCATCTATTTCTCTCTTAATATCTATTAATGATTCATTCTGATCCAGTAAACCTATCATAGTATAATTATAATACACTAACACATACATTATGATTCAGTACCAGTTTTATTTGTTAATAATAATTGCAATTGTTCTATTTCCATTCTCATTCCTCTTCTGATTCTGTATGATGCTATAAATAACAAATAATGAT